ATGACGCACCGGGGTCACCGTAGTAGCCCTTCATCATATGCGGGCCTCGCGCCCAGATCTCGCCAATGTGTCCCGGGGGAAGCGCCTTACTGTCGTCATCCACTATGAGAATATCTGTAACAGGGCAAGCCAATCCGCTATCATATTCACGGCCGTCAGTCAGCTTCAATTCTGAAGCAAGGCGAGAATTCAACCTACCAGCTTTGCGGGCGAGCCGCAAAATCTTCTCCAGCTAAAGGCGAGCGATGAACAAGCGAAGTGAGAAGTGAAGGTCAGAAAACCGCTCACAATGTGATGTACAGGTGGCGTTCATCTCGGTCAGACCGTAGGCTTGCGCCCTGTGAGGTCGCAATCAGTCACGGTAACTCAAAGCTGATACAGAGAAGATCTGCACGGACATGGCCACACCTGGGTAGTTCTGCGCCGCGCGCTGTGTGACGAGATTATGGGCAGGCGAACCACCCATCCCGAGGGTTGCGAACTCATGGTCGGCGAGCTCTGTCGCGCCCAAATCGATTATGTCCGAAATGACGGCTGGGACGCTGTCAAGTCACTTGTAAGCCCTGCCAGAAGTACCTCGGAGGTAGATGTTCACGTACGCGGTCATGGCTTTGACGTCCTCTTTTTTGATAATGCTAAGTACCATGTAAATCATAAGTCCGCGAGGACACCAAAAGAGTGTACATACGCAGCGACTAGAGGGAAGGGAACATAAGGAACAAATCTAGAGAAATACGAGAAAGCGGCTCGCCTTGTTTGGGATCGTACTTTCGTACGAGAACGATCTTGGCGCCGCCGAAGGTCGCCAAAAGCTATGTGATGCGCCTTTGAGCACCGAAAAAGGGCTAGTCTACGGAACGGCCATGCTCACCGTCACAGATGTCCCTGCGCATCATTCAGTAGCCGGACTTGAGACAATCAACACGAACTCACCCGTGATATGGAAGAGCGGCACTGGCAGAAGCATGCCCATCGGCGGCGGTAGGATACCTGTAGGCACGACCTCGCCTTTCCGAATCGACGCTCGCCTGGATCCACAAATATTCTGGTGGGATTTAGTCGTGACGGCCGAGTCAAACGATGAGGCACTAACGTTGAATAAATTCGTTAAGAAGGCGCGCTGGCTGCTCAGAACGCCCTCTAAAGGATTGCAGTCAATAAATGCTGAATCGTTGGCCGACGAGCTTACTGGGTAGACCCGTCGTCCCGCTGGTGAACATGATGATGCAGTCGTCCTCGGGTCCAATCTGAAGGTCATCGCGAAGGATTGTCGAGCTGTCGCCGCCGTACTGCTTGAGCAAACCGTCCCAGCTACGCATTCCCTTCCAGTTGCCCTTACCCTCGCTGCTCTGCAGCACTACAACGCCTGCAACTTGCAGCTCGCGGACAAGCTCATCCACGTCGTTTTCAAGAATGTTCGCGCGCTCCCAGTCAAGCACAATTAGCTTGCAGTCACAGCGTAATAGACAGTACTTGATTGTGTCCCGAGGAAGCAACCTGGTAGCCGCACATCAGCCCTCTGGACGGCCAGGTGACACGACGCACTTACGCATTGACCAGTACTGGTATCGCGCCTATGAGGTCTGTCTCAAGCGCTAAGTGACGATGGCCTCCAGCGCATTCTCAAAGCACGTACGGCACGCCCAAAACACGATGATATAGTCTGGGAAATTCCTCGCGACCAGGCCGATGTGGTTCCCTGCCTTGATCAGTCCGCAAAACAGCGAGATTAGCAGTTGGAGTGCACCTTTCCTGATGCCATACAGGTCGCGGAGTACGGCCGCTGTCCGCACGATGCGAGCGTGCGCCTCGCGGAACGTGTACCGTTGGTCCTCGAACACGATGTACTCACGCTCGCCGTAAATCTGCACGGCGCCGAGCCAGAACGCGCGACATGAAGGCGGGAGGTTCTTGTACGTTCGGAAGACGCGCCCCTCAATACTCGCTATCTGCGTCTCCAACAGAGTTCCTGGTGCGCTCAGAAGACGCTGTGCTGTGCAACATTGAGGTAAGCAAGCTGCAGAATTTGGGAGAGGCCTGAATGAGTACACACATTCCTCGACGGATACCTTGGGTATCCAGGCCATGATGGCGGCAGATATCAAGCATTTATCTCACATCATTATCTCTCTGATGTGAGCTGCACGCTGTTGCGAGAAGTCCAAAGAAGGAACATCATCGGGCGAAGCAAGCGTGGTTTCACTTACATAAGCCAGCCGCCGCTCGGGTAATTCCGAATATCCGGGTAAGTGCGCCACGAAAGGTCGAGCTGGTGTACCCGCCGTTCACCGTTCATATCTCACTCAAGCATGCAATGGTAAGTAGTATCATGAGTATGCGGGAGACATTCATATATGCATTCGTATCACGCGTCCACGCGCCGGACGCGGAGCGGCACCCTCGGACCATCCTCCCCTTCGACTTGTGGACGGAAAACAATCGTCCTGTACCGCAAGATCTTCTTCTCGTCCCCATGCGGCCACTCAAATGTGTAGTTCCTGATCAGCGTAGACAAAACCGCCTGCCCAAACAATGAGCACCTATGATCCTGCATCGAACTGAGAGCACGCACCTTGAACTCCGCCAGCGCAAAGCCGCGCCCCAAGCACATCCTCGGGCCGTCGATGAAGCTCATCAGATGCTTGTGTCCCTGCAGCTCCTGCGCGGGGCCGAGGGACTGCTCGTCCAGCCAACGCTCCGGACGGAACGTGTCAGCGTCCTCTCCCCAGAGGTCCCGGGATCGGTTGATGGCGTGGATGGGCGCAATGACGGTAGTACCCTTGGGAACGACAATTTGAGAGACAGCCTCGCCCGTCGTCGTGTTCGCTGGCGTGCCGAGAGGGATCACGTCGTCTTCCGCTGCCTGGAGAGGCCGAGAGGTCAGTCGAGGGCTATGCATAGGAAACGTTCTTGACTTACGACGCGCGTCGTGGTGTCGACAGCGGGATGCAGGCGCAGAACCTCGAGGGCGACGGCGTCCAAGTAGGGTAAATTGTTGGTGAATTGTTCCCAGGTCGCGTCCGCAATGCCGATTTGGGCGAGCTCGTCGCGAAGCCTTTGTTGCTGTTCTGGCTTCTTGCTGAGCTCCGTGAGCGCCCACTGCCAAAAAGGAAAGGGTCAGCATACGCGGCGTAACATGATGGTGCCGAGCATGCGTACTGTGAGACTGACTGATCGCAGCTCCTATCAGCGACTGTCCTCGTAAACCGGGAAATGGCTTGCTTACTGGAGGTTGTTTCGTATCCTGCAGAGGAATCATGAGTTTGCCAGACATATGTTTAGCGTCAACACGTACCGGCGATCAACAGGACATTCTGCGTGTAGTGAGATAACATATTCACAAAAGGTCGAAGATACGTACCATCTATGGGACAATTCAGCACACGCATTCACGACAGAATTCAGGACACGCACCTGAGCTAACACCTCTTCCCTGGTCATTCGGAGGTCCGATGTGTCCTTCTCGGCCTTGACTGCGTGATGTCAGGTTCGTCGATACGAGCAAGACGAGCTCGCCACTCACTGATCTGCCCTATGATCGACTTCTGCGCCAACAGACCTTCCGTCCCAAGCCGACTCTGCTCGAGCATCTCGTCCGCAATGACCGTCAAGATTGCTCTCACGCGGTCGGTGAGCTTCTTGCTCGCCGTCGGTACATAGTCAAGGAAAGGCAAAAACGGTGTAAGGATGAATATGAGCGTTCCAACTATACTGCTTCCGAGCTTTCCGAATCCTTCGAAGGAGTCGATGATGGGCGATGGCTGCCCGGCGATCGTCCCGAAATCGTGCCCAAAGCCCGCGATGCCGATGCTGTCGAGGCTGTAGCGAATTAGGTCAGAAAGTTGGCTGCGATGTTGAACAACCTTACGAGATACGGTTCATCCTTGCGTGCCGTGGAATGTCAGATGAGCTCAAAGACGGTAACGCGAAGCGTACCAGAACTGGACATCAATAATCACGCCTTCCTCCGTAGTTGGCTCGAGGAGGCCATCCCATATCGCCTTCACCTGCGAAAGACGTTGGCTCTGACGACCAAAAATGTGACCATCATCGCACCTTATACACAGAGTCATAGAATACCGAGGTCAGACTACGGATGGCCGTGTTACTGAACGCCGGGGACAGTGCCTTGCGCTGCCGTTTGTGGTTCTCCCCCTCCGCGGATAGAATCCCACGACCGAACTGTGTACCCGGGAGTCAGCGATGCTGCAAGTCCACGAACCCAGCACATACCAAGTTTTCGATGAAGATCTTCGAGATCCGCAGGTTGACATATGTCCAGGTTTCCCGCGCGTAAAAGTGCGCGAGTGCCTTCGGGTCCAAGAGGACGACGCGAGTCGCGCCCAGCGGGCCCGGCAGCGCGTATGCGAGGCCGTACTCGCGGGCCCAGCCTTCGTAAAAGCCAGCAGGGTCGGCAGAGCCCATGGTCTCCCGATGCGCGCCAAAGAACCAGCTGTGCCGCGGTGGGCCAACGAGCGGCGTCGTGGACACGTCGCGGCGTCCACTCGTGACATAACGGATGATCTTGTATAGGACATACGCACTGGAGCTCAGGATAAGCACATCTGTAGTGGTGACGGGCGCCATGGGGGAGGAGGACAAGATGCGAAAGCATCTTCGGTCGCTGTGCGGCTAACTGTCCGCGTAGCGTCAGTGACGACGGCTGACGTGTCGAGGTCACTGCGACGTCAGGCGTGCGTCTTCGAGGTTCAAGTTCAAGTACAGCGGGTGGCGTCACGCCCTGGTGTAAGTGTCTGCTCTCGTGCTTCTCGCCGGAAACCGAGAGACGTGGAAGTATGGCCTGTCTGAGTAACTGGTAAGTACTTACAATGTCAGACGGTGAAATTTGCCGTGGGAACGGCCACTACGGATACAAACAGAACTGAGAGTCAGTATTGCACAGTGGAAAATGTCTAGAAAGCCATAACAAACCGGTAGCTTTGATGAGCCGGAGAACTGAGATGGGGGAAAAAGGCAAAATTTGTTTTCCCCTCCAAAAGTGACCACCGCAGGGGTCGAACCTGCAATCTCCTGATTACTTCATCGTAGTCAGACGCGTTGCCATTACGCCAGGCGGCCTTGACGCAGTAAGTACGCAGCTTTCTTATACGATGTTGGTCAGCCTGTCTGCGGTAGTGCACCATTCAACCTCGATCTCGGATATTCCCATAGGCAGTCTACATAAAGCACAATTGTGATAGCACTGAGTCAGCCTGCACATAGCGCTCGTTCTCTACCAGGCTGCATGTCCGCCACTGTAAAAAAAAGCATGTCAGCAAGCCTGTCCACGGACTCGTGCCGCAATAGTAAACACACGCACTCGCATCGCAAATCAAACCCATTGCAGAACGAGCTCGCGTCTGAGGCAAGGAAGATAGCCGGCCCCTTATACTCATACGGCAAGGACATCCGCCCCAACGGATTATCCCCCTCCCACCGTTCCGAGACCCCAGGCCGATCCGCCATGAGCCTCTCCGTCAGAATCGTCTTGATATACCCCGGACTCAGCGTATTCACGCGTATTGACGGGGCCCACTCCATCGCGAGCGTCCGCGCCATCTGTACCAGCGCCGCCTTTGAGGAATTGCTGCGATAGTTCGGTTTGCGTTAGCGTTCTGCCTTAGCGGGCAACCAGGGATGTAAGACAACGCACTAGGGAACGCAGGTGAGTCCCCGATTCGCTATTGTGGCGCTCATGGAGGCGATCATGGCGATGGATCCACCGAGGTCGTGCTGCTGCATGAGCCGCGCGGCAGCCTGGACGGTGTTGAACGTGCCAACGACATTCACGTCGATCACCCGCCGTACGTCCTTCTCGTCATAGGCAATTGCGTCGGACTCATGCTGTACTAAACGAAAACACGACGCTGATAAGCCCAATGCCCTCACACAAGACGGAAAACAAGGCCACTCACTCCCCGCCGCCGCCATCAACACCCGCACCGGGGACGGCGCCTCCTTCGCGATCTCCCTAAACACCTCATTCACGCGCGTCTGGTCGGTGATGTCCAGCTGCCGGTAGCCCAGGGCTAGCCCCGCGTCCTTCGCCTTCGCCATCAGGCGGTCCCACTCCTCCGGCGACGCAGCCGCGGGGAGAACGTCCACGCAGTAGACGTCAGCGCCCGCCTCCAGATACGCGCCAGCGAGCGTGATCCCGAGACCGCGGCCTCCGCCGGTGACTGTGAGGTCAGCGTCAGAGGGCGCGGAACGAGAGCAGACACACAGGAAGTGTAGGGAGACACGCACCGATCGCGGTCCGCCCCTTCAGCGAGAACAACTCGGCGACGGTGGGCTCCCGAATCGACGTAGACACGGCATCGTGGGGCGACATCCCCTGCGCGCTGCCGCGTTTGTCGTCCACAGCCGGCCGCGTGGTGAGGGTGCGGACAGCGGTCTGCGAGCGCGGCGCGTGTGTTTGGGAGCCGAGTGCGCGCAGCGCCCTCACCGCGGGCATACCGCGCGTCAAACTCCGGGTGCGTGCTAGCATGGTGAGCGTCTGCAGCGGTGAGCGTATGCGGCGTAGTGAGCGGTGAGCGTATGCAGCGTAGTGAGCGTCAGCAGCGTGATGGGGGGCCAATGTCTCGATACCACCTCCCTTGCCTCTATCGTCTTTATATCTCCCAGCGCGCCTAGCACGGTGATAGCGGTTAGGAGGAACGATGATCTAGGGGCGGGTTTAGGTGGTCACCGGGGGGATCACGAGGCGGGCATGAGTTTTGTTACACAACGGATGGTCTAGCAGGGTTTTGCTGCAGAGGAGGGGTTGCATACCGTCCACATAAACGCGATGGGTGTACGGCAGCCGCACTGCTCACAAGAGTCATGTGACCGTTCTGGTGATCTGACGACGAGGAGTCCTCCGAGGAGACATCCAACAAAAGTTGAATTGAGGATTTTTCCTGGCTTCAAGACACGCCCGCTGAGGAGAACGTTTCAGAATTACAGCGGAGAGGGTGACAGTAGGGACCTACCTTGGTTGGTATAATTTCGAGGAACTCACTGCGAAAGGGGTTTTCATGCGAGAATGAGGTCAAATCGCAGGTCTGCGGGAAAATACTTGCCCAGAAGTCGTCCCCTCTCGGCTGAGGCCGGCATAGCTTCATATAACCACAGCAAAATCAGCCACCAGCTCGAAGCAGGCGTTGTAATGTCGCTCATAGGATGCTGATGACGCGCTAAGTATCGAGAATGTGTTATTGATTTCGCTTGCATTGGAACTAGTGAGAATGAAAAACGTGAGAGCTCGTGATCTGTAGAGAATGGGGAAGCGACAACCTGGCGACAACTCTGTTGAAGGACGGAAGGGCGCAGGAGGCGCCATAAGTATACGGCACGTGTAAAGTACACGCGTTGCACGTGGGCAAGGAAATTTCAACCTTGGCCTGATCGGGACGTCGCGCCGCCCGCGTCTTTCCTTCCCCGCTCCTCTTGTTCTCTGCTGACTGGGATTCGCGGTTCTTCAAAAATAATCTATCTGGTTTCTCAACACAGGCGTCTGCTACCAGCCGCTAGGAAAGGAATTGTCAATACGCGTTCAGATAGGATTGCTAATCCTCGCTCCTCCTCGTATGTCGTGAATGCTACGCGTATTCCGCTCATCTCGCGCGTGCAAAGCAACGAACCCATCACGCTTCTGGCGGCGCAGCGACCTGGGAACGCTCAAGAAATGCGGCTCTTGCCCCTGGCCTCTCGCACGCGCTCAGAGCGGGCTAGCGTCAGCGACGTCTTCGAAGACGGTCGACATGCAGCCGGTATCAAGGGCGTTGCAGAACATGGTGCGGACGGGCGACATCTTCAAGAACAGGAAGGGAATGGACAAGGTCGCCAAGTCCTCGCAGCACCTCGCATTCGAGAACATCATTGTTCTCCTCATCCACCACGGCCGCTTCCACGAAGCAGGCGTCGTCCACGGGGACATGCTCGACGCCGGCTTCATCCCCTCCCCCGCCACGAACGCAGACATGCTCGCCATCGCCCTCGTCACCGATCCCTCCGACGAGCGCGCCATCCACAACGAGCTCGCAGAGTGCTTCAGGCACCACACGTTCGACGACCACGACCTCTCGCACCTCATCTCCTTCATGCGCCGCCTCGCCCATCCCCCTCGCACCATCATCCCCGTCGTCAGCATCTACCTCGCCGTCAAGGCCCAGGACACCGCCTACCGCCCCTCCCAAACCATCATCAGCGACTTTGTCGAACTGCAGGTGCAGGCCGGCCTGGAGCAGGAAGCGCGCATCACGCTGCGTCAGTACCAAGGCCGGACGGTAGACGTCGACGAGACCGAGCTGCTGGCGAGCCTCGCGGACCAGAACGAGGACAGCGGCGAGTCGAACGCGCGCCTCGTCCGCGCCGGCGTGCGCCTGGCCAGCATGCGCGCCGACGTCGACGCGCACCTCGACGTGCACATTCTCAACGCGCTCATCCACCGCCAGATCAACCACGAGCGCTGGGACCTCGCCTACGCGCTCTACACCGTGCTCCTCGAGCTCGGCGCGCGCACGCCCGTCCGCCCGGACGGCGAGACCTTCCAGACCGTCTTCTACGCGGCGACGCGGCTGTACAAGCCCGTCATGAGCACGCGCAGCGCCGCCCTGCGCCAGGAGCACGCCGCGCAGGTGCCGGAGAACGCGGTCCCGCCGTGGCGCGTGTTCCGCGACATGATGCGCTTCCAGTTCAACAGGGTGTACGAGCGCCCGTGGTCGTCGGCGAGCGTCGCGCAGGCGTCGCTGGTGTCCGCGCTGCGCGCGCTCCTGGCGACGTCGGACTACGCGGGCGCGCACGTCGCGCTGCGGCAGTTCGCGGAGCGGGGCATAGCGGTACCGCCGCAGGTGTACCTGTACGTCGCGCGGCACCTCACGAAGCGCCTGCGGAACAACGTCGCGGCCAACTCTGCTGAGCGCGCTGCGTACGCGGCAGCGGTGGAGCGCGGGAACGCGCAGCCACGGGAGGACGACCCGACGCCGCGCTGGTTCTCGCATCTTCTAGGCGAGGGCGCGGAGGTCGACATGGCGGACGACGCGGCCGTCGCTGCGCTGCTCGTCCACCGCGGGCAGCAGCCGGTGGCCGAACTCGCTGACCCACCGCCTGCTGCGGGTGAGCCTCCGGCGCAGGTACCGCTCTACGCGCATATGGTGGGCAAGAGGCCCCTGCCCCCGCGCACGTTCCTGTCGACGATACCACTAGAGAACCTCATGCGGCGTGCTATGTTTTTGTCGGTGCCGAAGGCGCGGCGGTGGGAGTATGATGAGAGTCCCGAGCGCGCGCATGCGCTCGTGGAGGCGAAGATAGAGGAGTCGCGCAGGGAGATGATCCCAGAGGGCGTCGAGCTGTGGACGTGGCAGCAGGATTGGCGCAAGACGCCTCCGACGCGGCATAGGCGGAAGCGGTAGCGGATGTTGCTACACTGTAGGTATGTGTATGGCTGTGGAGAGGACGGGGTTCTGGATGCTCATTATTTTTCAGCTTTAGATATCATGTTCTCGTCGCCGCTCAGCCTCGAGCTTCGGCCTCCCTAATCGCTTGCCGCCCAAACCAGCAGGCGACGTTTGGTACATTGGGGCACGCCCATGTATGGCCATCACTCGCCCAAGGCCTCCGTCGATGCCTTCATATCATATGGGACACTAGATGCCTCATATCATACGGGACGCCAGATGCCTCCATACTGTATGGGACGCTAGATGCGATGAAGTAGACGCGTGAGTGAGTAAGTCGGGGGAGGATGTCGACTATACCAGCGAAAGTACTGTAACACTGAGTAATACTAATTTGATGCTCGCTGCTTCCTGTTCTGGATATGCTCTCCGCTCTCCAGCAGGCCTGCGTGCTGCTTTGAGTGAGTGTTGTGCGCCGTCTCGAGTAATAAGTACCACCCCCACTACTTTTGCAGCTTGCTGGTGGCCCCGAGCGTTGAGGCCTGTGACCTGTGACGTGATCGTGACTCGAGTCCCCCAACTCCGGAAATCCATCCCACCCTGCTTCACAGCGTCTGCTCTTCAAAGCGGCAAAGCGCGATGCACTTCCTACTCTGGCCACAAGCAGTGCTTCAGTCGAAGTCAATAGAACATGTACAACGT